AAAAAATTTAAAAATAAAATAAAAAACAATTTATTGCATTTGCCTTAGCAGCTCAATATGCCCTTGATCCAATCGTGCAGATGCACCTCAATCACATTCACCTGGTTGTAGTTCTTCGAGTGGAACTGATTGAAGGCCGTCGTCAGCTGGATGACCGCCGAGACGAAGTCGCTCAGGCGCAGGGTGCCATCCTTGCGTATGTAGCGCTGAATGAGACAGTTCATGATGTCGGTGCTCAGCTGGAAGCCAATGTCGTAGAGGGCATCGCGTAGCCGTTCCGCGCGCAGAATTCCCGCTTTCTCTTTTGTGTAGATTTTGAAGACGCCCTGCCAGGACTTCAGATTGACCATGAAGGTCTTGAACTGCTGGAATGTGATGCGGCCGCTGCCCGTCTTGTCCTGCAGGGCGATCACCTTGCGGCAGATGTCGATGTTGGCGCACCCCTTGATGTAGTCATTGGGCAGGCAGGCCTCCAGCAGCTCGTGGAGCTCGAAGCAGTTGATGGTCTTGTTCTCGTCCGCCAGCTGCATATAGACCGGCTCGTACTGGCAGATGCTTTTGATTTTCTGCACATTGTCGTCGGTCTTGAGCGCCGGAAACGGATCCAGCAGGATCATCGTCTGCGTCTCCAGGCACGACAGCCGAAACGACGATGTGCCCAATATGCGCACCGTGAACTGCGCCTCCTCGGCCGGCTCATAGGTGGTGGGCATCAGCACATAGTGCCCAATGTCCAGCTGCGTGTGGTAGCTGACGTGCCGTGTGTTGCCATAGTCCGAGTTGAGGAAGCTCACCTGGTTCTTGAAGAAGTCCTTCTGCAGGCACTCGTTCAGGCTGTAGTCCCGATTCCACATGTACATGGTGAAGCCAATCACTTTCGGCTCCACGGCCGTGTGCTGATTGAGCGCTATGACAATGTCCTGCTTCTCCTGTATGGAGACCAGCAGCTGTGGATTGATGTGAAAGGATTCGTGGTTGCGACAGCCGCCGGCAGTCACGCCGCGCTTCCACTGTCCCTGGTACATCTTCATTTTCCAGTGGAGCGGCCGCCCCTTCAGCATCTGCTCCCCATTCGCCGTATCCGAGTCCAAGTAAACGATTTCCAGCGATGTAAACGTGTGCACGAAATCATAAAACGAGATCCAAAACTCGCCCAGCTCCAGTTGGGCCAATAGACGACCGCGTTCCGTGGACGAGACGCGCTCCCAGGTCTTCGACGTGGGCGACCAGTCCCCAATGAAATTGGTCTTGTCGCCGAAGGGCTTTGATGAGAATGTGTCCTTGATGCGCACCAATTGCACCGAATCGCCCATGACCGTCTCCACCTTGTCCAAGCAGGAGAGTCTACAAAGAATATTTTGTACATATAGAGAGAGAGATATGTTGAGAGATCTATGGTCCATATCTCACCTGTAGTTGACATTCAGCAGGATGCCATTGGAGAGCCTCTCCGCCGTGTTCTTCTTTTGTACGGCGGCATTCTTCACCGCAATGCAGGTGACAATGCAAGTGGTGGCCAGGTGATCCTTCAGGGTCTGTGGCCTTATGGTATCCGCTACGATGGGCATGCACTTGACCACACCGCCCAGCAGATCGGTCAGGCCATCGGAGCGTGTGCCGTACTTGAGCGCCTCATAGGAGCCGTGCAGTTTGGCAATGGCTTTCTCCAGCAGCGATGCCCAGAAGCAGTTCGACGATTGCGGCTGCATAAACGCAAGTCGTCCATTGATCGTGGGCAGGCGATCGTCGACGAGCACCTCCACCCACTCGCCGCACCACCACAGGCGAAAGCGATAGATGCCCATCGCTTTGTCCAGACTCTGGTCGGCGGGCACAACGCGATAAAACAGATTCCTCAGCGAATAGAGCACGCCCAGGCAGGAGACGAGCCAGCGATCACCCATCTTGCCAGGCACCACATCGAACTCCGCATTCTCGTTGAGAAACGAGGCCTGGGCATTGTTCAGCTCGGCGATGCGCTTCCACTGGAATGTGAATGGGGGCGTTTGATAGTAGAATACCGATGATTGTATTGCTGGGAAATCAGCGTCTTCCCACAATATATTCCTCGCTCTGCAGTCGCTGATAATGCGCTCATATTTGGATGCCATATTACATATAGATATAGTATTCCATAGGCTATTATTTAGTAGTTCGCATCACATCGGTCGATCGATCGATTTCTGGTCTTTTTTATTTGATATTGATCTATGCAGCTTTTGATTTTTGAAGTGAAAGTTAATTTGTGACCTGCTCGCTTGGGTAGGCTAAGTCACTGCCACCTAGTCTAAGCCATTTCTTTCGTTCAGTGTGGCCAGATAGGCGCGACGGAAAAAGCGCTAATCGAAGCTTCYATTCAATCGGCGCGCATGCGCCTTAAAGCCCACAAACAATACAATAACAAAATATTAATTTTAATTCAATTTAAATTAATTAATAAAAAAACAATAAATGCTAATTGTAATTGACTTTATTGCACACTACTACTACTTGTTTTGTTCTTAAAATACGGCAGACGTAATACCGGGATGGCATTCGAGATAATAATAAATCATAAGCAATATGCCTATTATATAAAAAGCATTAATCCAACTGGCCAAATATAATGGAATCCAAAATATACAAGCGACGACATTTTGCAAAAAGCATAGCAGCAAATAAATGATATACTTATACTTTGTGGGTCCATCGGAGACGGGCGTGAATATGAATATATAAACAGCGCCAAATGCCAGACACAAAATGTAGTTAGTCAATGCAGTTTTGGCAAACTTCGGAGTGTCCGCTATGAAGACAACAGTGCCACAAAGCAGCAAGTGGAGAAGACAGGCGGCAAATGTTTCCATGGGAAATATACTGGCCAAATAGGCTATGCAAATGGTGCGCGATGCTTCAAATAATGATTGAAATGTATATATTAGATAAATTGAAATTGATACTTGATTGAAAGCAAACTAACCCGTCAGACAGAGCAGAAACCAGAACTGCACAATGAGCCCCTTGGTGCCTATATCGTATTTATCCAGCTGCACCAATCGATTCGATCGGTTATAGGCCACCAAACACCAGGCGAGACTGAGAAAATAGACCAAAAATGTGAGCCCGCGTACATCTGAAAATATCTTAAGATTATCAATTTATAAATTATATACTCTTCAGAGTTTTCCACTACGCATATAGAATGCTCTATACTTATTACACGTTAAGCTTTTCGTATTTTGCAAAACTATGGCGAGCTGCAGGATTTTCTGCGGGGCCGTTTCCAAGAATGAATCGAAGAGTCGAAGGAAGCCAATGTTACAGTCCTCCTTCAAATACCTGCGGTAGCATCTACAGATATATGTATATACATTAATTCGGTTAAATATGTATATTTATATATTTAACGTCATACTCAATTTCGGCAAACTTATCGCCACGCCTCTTTGCCTCGGTGTATTTCAATGCCCAATTTAAGGTCGATGCGTCGCGAAATAGGTAGGAAACCACAAGTCTCCAAAATTGGCGTGTGTGAGCAACGGGTTGTTTGCCCGAGTTGCTAGCAATTAGTCTACGAATCGAATAAATGAATCATTTAATTGGAGTGAAAATAAAAGCCGTAGTTATTCTTACACATGTGCATAGATTAGCGTCGTTATAAACAAGGGTATTACTATGGACATAATTGTCCAGTGGCAGTAGGTGTACGATTCGCTTCTCCAATACTCATAGGCCAGACAGCAGTTCAGTATGATTGTTAAGAAACGCATAAATGCCGAAATGGCCGTCATAACAATGTTGAATGTTGTTATATGATGCGGCAATGTTGCAGATTGCATGTTCTCCAGAGTCTGGCCATCGACGAATTCCATTTCGAATACTCAATCTTAGAAGGAGATATCTGCAGATATCTCCCATACCGCTTAGCTTGTTAGAACAATCATTTCCAATCACTTGCTGACTATTGTCAGTTTCAGTTGAGATCAATTTGTGGCTCAGCTATGCTCGAAGGTAAGCCAGCTGCGCATTTGAGATGGGACAGCCTAAGTAGCTGATCTATCGAAATACCAGAATTGCGGCTTAACAAATATAGCCTAAAATTTACCGAAATAAATACCGACATTGGCATTGTATAAGGGCAACTGCTGCTGGACTAAATTCAATTTAATGTATTCAGATTACTTTAGAAAAAAAAACGAGTTCTACTACCCACACTTTTACTTTTCAACATTTTTATTTTTTTTTTTATTCTCACTTTCTTATACATTTCAATTTCCATTTTCAAACAAAGCAATCAAAAAAGAGGTCTAATTCGAGAATTTTATAAAGGTTTCTTTGAGATTTCTTCTATGATTATAGAAAGCAGATTCCATTTGGGAGCAAGCCTGCTTTTTCTTCATATTACAATTGAGTTATATTCGCATTTCCAGGTATAGGCAATGGTGGCAGTATGTGGCACATATTGTTTCGGAAAATATGGAATGCGGACACTACTAAATTGGTCGAGGCTTCTGGCAAACAGTTTTTCAAGTGGGACAGAGAGCAGTCCTCAAATGCACCCAATCCTTTGCATTCATTCTCTCCAAGAACCAAATTATCTTCCGCGTCAGAGTCGTCTGAGTAGATCGGATAGCGGCATGCATCTATATTGTCAATTTGTGATGCAAAGCACGTGATGGTTGATTCGTCATTAAATATGCCTATAATGTGATCTTCGTTCAGGCAGCCAAACGCGAAAAGTTTTTCGACTGTATTAACAAATGTTGACAGGGTTTCCTTGTCCTTCACTGTTAAGCATGGGTGCAATGCCGTCAATAAGTCTGCCAAACAATTTATGGGAACTTTGCGGTTGTCGCAAATGTATTTGATAATAGCATGCGTCAGTTGAAATTCATCATCAGAAGATAGCTTGGGTCTCATTATCATAGACTCCGAAAAATTTTGGCGACATTTCTTAAACGTTTCTTCAGCTATGACTATTTGCTGGAGCGCCTGTTTGCCATTTTCTTCGCCGACAGCTGCGATGCATATATTACGAAACGTCGGCTCCAAGCTAATAATAGCTGATGATTCAATGTCGTCCAATTCATCTCGGCTGTCATCTGCATTGAGTACCTCCTCCGCTGCGCAAAGTGCCGCTCCTATTAGGATTGGCCAGATCCATATGTATGCCGTCATCTTCATTCTGTTATTGATTGTTGTTTAATCTTACACAAACTTTTGTTTTCAAATGCAAAGCTCTTGTTGTGTAGATGATTCAATAAATACTAACGTAGATCCTAATAAATAGGTACACTTTATAGGTACCCTGAATTTGAAGTCTGAATCGTATGTGCCTGAGATTATCATTTTGTTGCTGCTTTTTTTTATTTTTGTTTGTTTTTTGGCTAGTAATCTTAGCAGTCTTATCACTCCCATCCCAATATATGTAGCTGCTTTTCAAAAGATGAAATATTAGTCAAATCAAATTAAAATATATACACTCCAATAAAACATCTAGTATGCCAGACTCTTACACTTTTGCATACATGCATAGATTGATGTCAAGAAACTCATTGATAATAACAGTCCTCTATAATTTTTCTAATTGCATATATATATTTGAATCAAACGGAAAAAGGCCGACTGCAGTATCTAAGGTGATGTCAATAACAAATAAAAATAAAATGTGTAATCGATAGTCTATGCGATGAGCGATAGATAGCAAGCAACGTTGCATTATCATCAAACTTTTGAATTGTCCAAGGCTTGACGAGCTGTTTGCCGCCCAATTACAATAAATTACTTAATTCGTATTGTTACTCGATATTTATTTCTGAAATACACATTTAAAAAATTTATAAATTTGTCTTCATCAGCGGAAATTGAATCGCTGCGAACGTTTGTTAAGTTTTACCTGTATAGATATTAATTGTCAGATTTTTTCACTTTTTGTTTCTTTTTATTTCCAATTTTATATTTCCATTTATACGCCAAGTCTTTACAAACTTTCAACCTTTACCTCTATATAAATATATTGGTTTTGTATATGTTTATGAGATTTCCTTGATTTTCAATATGTAGTTAATATCCGATATTTGATATAAGAGATTGCAATAAAAACATAAAATAATTATAATAAAGCATGTTTATAATACATATTGTGAAGAAGAATTCTTTAAGTTCGGTCGATTGCATTTTGTAGAAAAACTATTTCTTATTCGCCGAAATGTGTATGTATAAGAAATCTCAATTGACACCTCACTATTTGTGTTTTTGTTTCCGTTTCATTTTTTTGTTCTTGTGTTTGGCAAGCAAGCAAGCATATTTTTTTTTTCTTAAATATAGAAGCATGCACCATTCATTCCAATTGCGAATTGAAATGAAAAGAGGAGAAATTACTTAAAATAGGAGAACTTAAAGAGAATGACGATCATGATTGTAAAGATGAGTATGTTATTTATATGCGTAACATGGGCAAACGCGTTCGCGCTCCCAGTCAATGCCATCTGATTGTAGTTGCGGCACAGAGTCTCGTTCCTTATAAAATTGAACATCGACTCTATTAGATTGGCCGGAGTGATTTTCGAGCAGTGCTCCAAGTGACGCACAACGCAGTTCTCAAATGTGATGATGTCGCCGCATTGTTTCTCCTCGACAACTAGTTTGGGTATTGTTTTGATTTTGTTGTTGCCCTGCATGTCGATCTCATCGAAATAGGTTGAGAAGGTGCTATTGAAGCACTGATGAATATTGTCCTTTTGTGATTCGAGGCATTCGAAGCCTTCTTCGGCAATGAATAATGCTATCTGATCGCCATCCTTGTGACACACAAAGTTCAACAGACTTTTCACGATATGTTTGATCACGTCCAAGCTCTCCAACTCCTTCTTATCCAGACACGGCACCAATTTGCTCGTGAAGGCATCAACACATTCTGTCGCATTTGAGCGCTTCGCACAGTACTTATTGAAGACGACGTCCAGTTCGCCCTGAGGACTCGCCTCCTGAATTTCCTTCTGCATTGTCGTATAGTTGACAATGTTGTTCATGCATTCGCTAAGTGTTAAGAAGCCTGTCTCTATATCAGCGTACGCCTGCTCGCCATTTTTTTCGCCGGAAACTTCGATGCACTTCTTGCGAAAAGCTTCCTTTGCTTGATTGAAGCTGGTGTTTTTTAACAAGTCCTCTGGAATTTGGCTTTGCATGTCGAGCTTATCCAGATTCAATTGTGCCTGAGCCTCTAAACTGACAAATACGATTAGGATTGGCCAGATCCATGCTTGCGTTGGCAACTGCATCCTATTAACTTGATTCTTAACAATTCTTACTCAACTTTTAATATTCCAATTGTAAATGTTTTGCTTCAGCGCTGATGATCCAACAAGCAACACCGTAGCTCCCTTTAAAAATCAAGGTACTGTTTTAGTAATTAGTTGTAAATTGCCATCACATATGCATATTAATTGTACTTGTACTTTGAAATCCGAACCGTATGTGTGGATTGTTATAATTAATTTGTCATTGTGTTTATGTTCACTATGCCCACATTTGCTTAAGACAATCTATCGAGAATGATGGAATAGAACAAGAATTGCTCATGTCTTACCCGCGATAAACAAAGAGTGTTCATCTGAGCTAGTTATCTGATTTGGGTAAACTATGATAAGGAAGCTTATCTCAGTTATTGATACCTTTTTATTTGCAAGTAACTTATTATTTTTGTTTATTTCTTAACGACGTGCTGACTTTGACATGGCTTAAGATAAAAAATATTGATTCTGCAATTTATTTCATTTAATGGCAACGGTCTGCAAATTTTAAACTTTCGATAAATGATTCGATATCATGCAATTTTGCAAAAATTGCATCACTAGATTCAGGTAAAAGCGGGAAATTGTGCATAGCTTCAAAAGACTTCCGCCAAGTTCATTGTATACTTCAGATAAAATGTGTGATGTTGGAAATCTAATTGATTTAACGGGCTGGGATGAGCCTGTTAAAGATGAGGAGGTCGTAGAAGATACGCCAATTCAATCAAACAGCTTCAAAGGACCATACGACCCATTCGATTCAGTGGAAAAAGAAGCCTGCATCAAGGTGTGTATGCACATGCACACAGACACTCTCTCTCACACACACAGAGAGATTTATAACAGGATGACAAGCCATTTTTATTATTTCTTGTTTCTTTTATACAGGGCGAACACTTTAAGAATGATACACAAAATACACCAACGACACCAGCTGAAGGCCAGCTCGTCAACAATGAGTCTTCGCCATTAACCATAGAATCTGAGCCGAGCAATTCAGATATTATTAGTAGCTCTACAGTTAGCAATGAATCGCGCCACCGCAGTCTACAGCAGCTTGCCAAGCTGAATGCAACCAGGCTATCAAATATGAACACACCACCGAGTAATCAGTTGGTGAATGTTGCAACAAGTGGAAATAGCTCGTACTTTAACAGCTGCTTTCTGACCGAGAATCTGCAAATGATTGCCGCTGAGTCGCCAGTGAAGCTCATAGAAGATGAGCCCAATCCAATTCCAACCACGATGCCATCTGTCGATCTGCCTGACTATACCTGTTCCAATACAGAGTTCGAAGTACGCCTAAAGCAGATGCGCATCGCCATGTTGGGCTCGCCAGCTAAATCCGCTGCACCAGATCCTCTCCCAGCACAGACAACTCTAAATTCTCACAATACTCCAGCACAGATTGAAGCGCTGTGGCAAGAGCTGAAATTTCTGGTTTATGCACACGTTGAGCTCTCCAAGAGGGAGCAGTTCAATGCGGTAATTGAATCGCTACGTACAGCCATCCAATGCAATCGCCCAACCCCAGAAGATGCCAGCCAGGTCACTAAAGAATCGCCAATTCTATATACACGTCAGGGAACCTTCGACTTAGATCTAGAGCAACAGGTATATCTAAGCTATCATCAATTGATGCACTGCATCCAATTTAATCTATTGTATTCCATGTAATCTATAGCGAATGAAAGCAGATGCTGCAGATCATTTGAAGGCAAATGGAAATATTCAAGAGTTTCCCGATGTGATGACGTGCTCGTCGGCCACATACGATGCTGAATCGGCTGATAAGCCAATGAGTCCGATTCGAGAAACTGAATTTCAGAAAAAACCCGATTCGTATGTGACCGAAGTGGTTAACGACAACAATCTAGCTCAACAAATCAATCAGCTACTGGAGCGACACAATCTAACCAAGCAGCAGGTCAATGACAATGAGCCACAGCATCACGAGCCGGAAACGAATCAGCACTCGTCTGGCCAAACCGTTATCTTGGTGGTAAACTCCACGGCCGGCAGTCAATTGACCAACTGTATAGTGCATCCGTCCTCGGCTAGAGTGGCCAATGCGGCGGCCAAAACTGAGAGAGATAACGCGCTGCGACGACGCTCATCGTCGTTGTCCATTCACGACAAGGCCAAGCAGGAGCGACCGAAGTCGATAGTTAAGCAATCATCTGAAGAGGGCAACGAGAGCAATCTCGTGATGCCTCTGAAGGAACTGTCGACTGTGGGCGATAAATTCAATGCCATGTCGAGCTTTAGGCAGCGTCGCAACTCCTTTTCAATCGCTTCAATAGGCGGGGGCAAGGGGACTGCGCCAGCTCCCGCCGCCAGCCAGGGCAGAGGCCACTTGGTTGGCCGCACCAAGGTGACGGCCATAAACGAAACGGTTATGAAACTGAATGGCACCTCAAAGGCGAACAGCAAGCCGGTTAAACGGGTTGTGCCCATGGTGAAGCCATCGCTGGAGCTGACTGATGTAACACACCTGAATTCAACGACGCCCCGCTGCAATGTCCAGGATACGCCTCTGACGACCAAAGGCAAACAGGCCAGCAAATTATTCTGCACCAGCACACCGATGCCACAGGTGCGTCCGCTACAGCGCCGCTCCCTGAGGCCAGTGAGCAGCTATGCCAACGCCTCCTGCGCCACCACCTCCACGCTGCGATCCGCCAACTACTCGAAGAAAGCTGCCCAATGAATTGCCAGCCAAATTGTGATGTCTTTCGATAGAAATGATTTTGTTTTCAAGCTTAGAGTTAAGAATTAAGAATTAATATTTAGATTAAGAATCCGTCCGTTTCTTTTTGTTTATATAATGTACGCAATTGGCAAAAAGAGGCATGGCCAAAACCAGACTAACTATAGCACTAGATACATTCGAGACGAGGAGACCTGAGCCATGTCCGTCTAACTTGATTCATTCCTGCATATTCATAAGACAAACGCATGAAGAATAATGAAAACAATTTCTAACTCAGATTTGACATTGAATGAGTGATTTTATTTGTTGTTRTTGATCTTATTCTTCAAGATGCTGAGGTGTGTCAAGCAGTTGTCTCGGTATGCGCGTCGCTCCACCAGCTTGTCCAGGGGCACCATCTCGTTCAGCTGCTTGGCAATTTCGACGGCCGTGGGCCCCTCCATTTTGGGTGTCTCGCCCATGGTTTGGCTGACGGCATATATCGTTTTCGAGTAGCGCTCAAAGTAGTTCTCCATGCCCTCGGCGTTCAGATGCGCCGTCTCCAGCGGACCCAGGAAGGCGTAACGCATGCCCAGGCCATCGCTCATCACGCTATCAATATCTTTGACATTGAGAATGCCCGCCTCGACCAGACGCCACGTTTCGTTTAGAATCGCATACTGAATGCGATTAAGGGCGAAGCCCTCAATCTCGCGCGATAGTGTGACGGGCTTCTGGCCGATTTCGTCCATCAGATCGCGCGTCTTTTGCACCACCTCGGGCTTTGTCCACGGCGCCGGCACAATTTCCACCAGCGGCACGTAGTAGGGCGGATTGACTGGATGGGAGACAACAGTCTAGAGCAAATGGAAAAGGGAAATGGAAATAAATCAATCCAAGATAAGACCCAGAGATATGTGAAGATAATGTCACTCGTCTACATCTATGTATATCTACAATCTCTGTTCGACTTACGTTCTGTTTGTGCTTCAGGTTGGCGGTGAACAGGGAGGGCAGGAATGTGCTGGTGGAACTGGATAGGATAGTGTTGTCGTCGACCACATCGTCAAGTTTCTTGAACAGCTCCTGCTTCCAGTCCAGCTTCTCTGGGATGCACTCCTGTATAAAGATGGCGCCCTTGACCAATTCCTTGATGTCGTTGGTGCCCGAAATGCAGCTAAATTGTTGCGCCGCATTCAATTTGCCACGCAGCAAACCCTTCGCCTCCAGCTCCACCAGTTCCTTCTGTGTGGCCTTCAAGGCGCCCTGCACTTGCTCCGGCAGGATGTCATAGAGCATCACCTGGTAACCCACCGAGGCGAACAGCATGGACCAAGAACGTCCAATCAAGCCGCTAGATCAGAGCAAATACAGTTAAATTTGAAGTAAACATGCCCATGGACTCTTATGTATATCCTACCTGCCGACGATGCCTACTTTAGCCATTTTTTTCAAATCTGACATTTTGCTGCTCTATTTCAACTGTTTGTTCACTCTTAATTCTCTGTGCGCTGCCAGAAGGAACTCGACTTCTACCTTAGACGTACTGTAGGCGTTTGAACACTTTTGGTGGAGTACAACCGGTTTAATACCACTTATTCAGCGATAACAATAAAAGGTGAGCGCGACCTACATACACATGTATGTATGTATTTATGTATGTATGTATGTACACGAAGTGTGATGTGTTGTGTTGCCTAATTGGGTGCTGGGGTGTTGCTGATTCCAGTGCAGATAATGGAATGGCTACCAACAACATAGCTACATATGTATGTTCACACACACACACACATACATACGCTTGCATATGTATGCATCTAGTTTTATTGCTGGCAACGCACGAAGAAAAAGAATCAGCTGTAGCAGATCGAGAGAGGGAGAGAGAGAGAGAGACTGAGAGGAGTAAATCAAAACAATCATCCCGCTAGAAAAGTTGCTGCCAGCTTGGATTAATTGAATTTGTAACATTTTACAATATGTATGTATATTTTTATGATATGTATGTATGTATATCATGCATGTATTACGTGCATGTGTCACGCATAACCGGTTACAGCCCGAATGATTATCTATCAAAATTCCATATCACAAGTGCGTATAGAATGCCATTGGATTTATACTGTTGCCCAATTCGCTACAGGGTGTTTGTGCTCTGCTTAGCTTATTTCATAAATTTAGTCAAAATGCCCTTAATTTGACTTTTAATATTAATTCACGTTTATAATGTTTACGGGGAGCAGGTCGTATCTATGGGACACAAATAATAATAACTACCGTCAGAGAGATAAAGATGAGTGTTTGAATTATAAAATAAATGTGCAAAACAATTTATATTTGTATGCATATACATATACATACATATGTGTGAATGCAGGTATGCATGTGTGTGCATATGCAGCCTCGCTTGCACATAGTCAATACAATTGCAGCAAATAGCACTTACCCTAATTAAGGATATGCCACACTACCTAAACACAAACATTCTATTTATAATAACTAACTGTAAGGCTAACCACATTTAGCCAATTGCAGGTGCACGATTACAAAATATGTACATACATATAAACAATAGTAAATAATTGCACTTTGATAATGTTGTATGTATGTATATGAGAGGTGTCAGTGCCGACTCTTCGCATTTATTAATTCACATTCGAAGCAACGAAATTGTACATTTTCTGAATTGTGTTGTTCAATATCTTAGCCTTCAGATAAGTTGGTTTTATACAATATATGCACGCTTAAGGATGTGTATGGGTGTGTGTATCTCTGTGGATATGTGTGTGTGTTGGTGGATGTGTGTTTGAGCGGATGTGTGTGTGTTTCTTTCTCACTGTGTGTGTGTGTGTCATCTGTCTCTCTGTGTGTGTGTGTGTGTATGTGTGTTATCTGTCTCTGTGTGTGTGTGTATGTGTCATCTGTCTCTGTGTGTGTGTGTATGTGTCATCTGTCTCTCTGTGTGTGTGTATGTGTGTATGTGTCAGCTGTCTCTGGCTGTGTGTTTCTTTCTCACTGTGTGTGTGTGTGTGTTTCTTTCTCACTGTGTGTGTGTGTGTGTATGTGTCATCTGTCTCTGTTGTGTGTGTGTATTTGTGTCCTCTGTCTCTGTCTGTGCGTGTGTGTGCGTGTTCTCTGTCTGTGAGTGTGTGTGGATGTGCGTGTTTATGTGTCCTCTGTCTGTATGTGTATGTGTATGAGTGTCGCTATTAGACTTAATTTGCTTGAGACATTGTGACAAAGGCGTATCACAGGACAACATCGACTTAAGTTTCTTGTGCTGGAGAGTATTCCAATTGGCAGATGCCGATGCTGATGGATTTGTCTATGGTACTTGAGGAACTCAATTATTTACTTAATCCTGTCAGCAGTTGTCAAATATATGTATGTATGTGTTTCTGCAAGTTAAATATGGATATTTTTGTTAAGCTTAGTTTAAATGGCGATCATTTGCATACATACATAAATGTGTAGAAAGGCGTTGTTATATATGTATATAAATGCATGTACATGTACATATACATATACATAGATATATATATATATATTTCGTCAATCCTTTTGTCGAGTGTCTTTGAATGATCTTGTTGTATGTGTCTAATTGTTGTCTTATACTTAAAGCGCCATTTTACGCCCCTCTATAGAGATTTCGACGGCACGACGACTCTCCTTCGAGCGTTTTGAATCCAAAAAGCGTTTCATGTGCTTCTCATAGCGATTAGGCTTGCGTTTTGAAGACTGCAGAGAAATACGTTTGTAAATTGGAAATAACAAAAGTTTGTTAATTGTGGCTTACTGAAACTTCGCCTTCGACGGTTGACTTGGGGCGAATAACGTAATCTTTGTTGGAAGGCATTGGTACACGGGCGCGGGCCACCCAGCCGGGATCGCCGGGACGCAGCAGTTTATCCTCACTGGAGAAGGTCTGATTTAGCGATGGTGGATTGCTGCTTGATGCGGGCGCAGGCTCTGGGGTCTTATGACGATTGCGTGACATTTGCGCCAGATCGCGCTCCTGACGCTCCTCCTTGCTCATTGCTGAGAAATCACAGCTCAGATTGAAGATGGGACGGGCCCATTCCGATATCAAGCGGCCAGCCCGATCTCGATTTGTCTTTGTCTCTTGTGGATGTTTGTACAAATACATGACGGCTTTTCCGATGCCAGATTGCTTTAAATATGACTTATCTATGGTTGGGAACTGACGAAAGCGAGATATACATCAAGCAAGGAGGAGAAAGAGAGAGAGAGAGAGAGAGAGAGACAGTTATATGTATTGCATGATGAAAAGTAATTACAATTATAATTACATCGGATAGCAGACGCAATATGCTTTCGCGTATTTGCAGACAGGGCAGACTTTTATTTGGCAACGGTGCTAGCCAATCCGTAAGTACGTTGAGTATGTTGTGCTCCAAGAAGGCCAATTGCAGATCCTTCTTAATCAGCTGAGACATCACTTGTTTGAGCATTGAAATCTTCTTAGTTGCCGGCTTGCCGGCCAAATTTAGCTGGCGATCATCGTCTGAGGCGTTCTTCATATTGATTATCAATTGATCGATCAGATCATCATTATCATTTATCAAATCGATATCGCGCTTGCGTCGTCGCACACGTTTCTCCTCCTTCTTGCGCATCAACATTGCATCAAAATCAGATATGAAGTTGCTGTTTCTAAATAGATTCAAGAGATATATATAAAGTATATGTATGAATACTCGCTGTCTATGTTTGGTTTCCTTACTCTGGCTCATTTGAAATTGGCGTGTTTTCATCATCCGAGCTTTCAATAATTTTAGCCTGTGACTTTTCAGCCATATTGTCATCAGCGTCCTTCTTCCTGTCCTCATCCTCGTCCTCATTGTCTGTGTCGGTGATTTTAGCCCGTTTCTTGTATAGCTTTGGTACATCATCTGTGTTAGGATGGACATGATGATATAATAACGATTCCAATATATGTACTTATAATAGATATTCAGCTTACCTTCAGAGTCGCTGGTGATAACACGTTTGCGATTCAGTGCATCCTGGGATGTGATCGAGTCGGCAGCACTATTTGAGCGCGAGCGTTGGTCAGACTTCCTTTTTGATTTGCTGCGACTGTGTGAGGAGTCCGCGCTTTTAGATCGACTGCGCGAGCGAACGGAGCCAGCACGTAAGTCCTTGGAGCCGCTGCGTGAGCGAGTGCCACTGCGCGAGCGTGTGCCACTGCGTGAGCGCCTGGAACCAGAGCCACTCCGGGATCGTCTGGATCCGCTGCGTGAACGTCTGGATCCACTGCGAGAACGAGATCCACTATGCGAACGCCTCGATCCACTACGCGAACGCCTCGATCCACTGCGTGAGCGCGCTGATCCACTACGTGAGCGGGCAGATCCACTACGTGATCGTCTGGATCCGCTACGTGAACGTCTTGATCCACTACGGGAGCGTCCAGATCCAGATCCACTGCGCGAGCGTCTAGATCCAGATCCACTGCGAGAACGTCTAGATCCAGATCCACTACGAGAACGTCTCGAGCCACTGCGAGAACGCCTTGATCCGCTACGTGAGCGCGCAGATCCGCTACGTGATCGTGCAGATCCACTGCGTGAGCGCGCAGATCCGCTGCGTGAACGCTTGGATCCCGATCCACTACGGGAGCGTCTGGATCCACTACGAGAGCGTCTGGATCCACTACGAGAGCGCCTGGATCCACTTCGTGAGCGTGAGCGTCCCTCAGAGCCGCTACGTGAACGTTTCGATCCACTGCGTGAACGTCTAGAGCCGCTGCGAGAGCGAGTACCACTTCGCGAACGAGCAGATCCGCTGCGCGAGCGTCTAGATCCAGATCCACTGCGTGAGCGTTGAGATCCACTTCGAGAACGATGGGGCGACCCGCTGGCTGAGCGAGCGGAGCCAGATCGACTACGAGAGCGTCGAGAGCTGTCAATAGCACTACCGCTACGGCTGCGTGACTTTCGAGTGGCACTTGGTGAACGACTTCCTATTAGTGGAGCTTCCGGCTTTTCCTGCACTGGTTCGCTCGGAGGAGCACCGGCTGATTCCTCCACAGAACACGTTGAATCGACTTCATTGTCTTGAATTGTTTTTGGGTCCGTGGGCAAGGCCGCGACCACGTCCGTGACTTTGCCGCCGTCCGGCTCTTTGTTGAACGCTTCGCCTAGAACACAAAGTGTAGACGCATAAGCACGCTAACGCTGTTTATCCACCATTTTTTTGTACAATACCTTTTTCAGCCCCCATATCCATACTTGAAAGTTTCTAGAAAATTTGGTACATGTGATATTCAACAATTTAGCTTTCTAATATTGCGCGCTGATAATAATTTCCGAAAATAACACTAAGAATAATACTTATTAACTCTCTAAAAAAAATTATGAACATACACACATTTGTATGTACAATTCGATTAATTTGATGTTCAGATAGCTACTGAAACAAAATGAAACTGAAACGGCAAATGTTCGATATATTTCAACATGCACATGTACTTGAACCACTAGTTCGATACTTTGTTGCTGAACTGGATTCAGCTCAAATTTAATTATTGTTTATTCCATTTACATGGCATGCTATAAATATTATATCATTTATACAAAGTAAAATAAAATTAGAAAAACAAATGTAATAAATAGTTTTTTAGGCAATAAAAGATTGTTTTATTGATTTATATAAATGGATGAAATTCTCAACTTGTATTCGAAACAAATTTACATTTACTTAAAATTTCTTTAGTATTCGTACAATTCGATTTACGTTATAGGGATAGTAATAAAATACATATATCCTGGTAGATTCCATAAAAGCAGTTGTAATCCTTAAATTTTTAGCACTAAGAAACTAAAACTCTACGTTGAAGAAATTGTTAGCCTAATATCGAGAGCGTTGATTGTTTAACGCGCAGAAATAAAGAACAAATAAGTCATATCCGCGTAGATGTATCAGCAATATTCCACTCAAATGATGAGTTTATGAATATTGCGTCATAAGCGCAAATGAATTGCGAGATCTAACACAGATATGGACCATTCACTATTTGCTTTAAGACTACGCTGGGGTCAGCGGCGACTGAGCATTTGGTACTCTAAGTCGCCGCTACTATCCTCATCCACCTCCCATTGCACAGGCTGAGGAATCTATGGTCTGCTGTATTCGTCCAATGCGTCTATTGGGCCTTAGACCACCTCCTCCTCCTCCTCCGCCACCACCTCCTCCTCCACCACCGCCACCACCACCCCAGCCACCATTGCGTCGGCCAGTGTTGCGGTTAGTGCCATTGCCACCGTTGAAAGGAGCGAGTAGGGTCTGAACACTGCAGGATAAGGCAATTGATTGCTTTAGAGCACATATGGTTTAAGTCTTCATAATGTACTTACAATTGCACCAAAATATACCAAAGTCCTACAAATATTTCGATAATACGTTCAAGATTCCAAGGACGCTTCTCCCACACTCGACCATCTGCAATCACAAAACAGTTTAAATAGTATTAAAATACAACCTATATATACATATATTTAGGAATACTTACTTCGGTCTATGTAAACCATGTTGCTATCGTCTCGACATTAATAATATTGTGTTTATCTATTAATTTATATAGTTTTGGAGACCATGACGTGTCTAAAGCTCAACAGCTAGAATGATATCGGCTAATCGATATTTATGAAATGTTATTAGAGGCAGTCCTCAACATATGCGATAAGCCTAATCCAAGTTATTAAAATATTTTAAAAATTGCAAAAAACAATTGTTTTACAATAAATATTTGCATATAGATATAATTAACTTTTCAATTAAGTTATGAGTAAATATATGTATTTTATTAGGGAGTATCCCTGGTTGTGAACTGTTTGTTGACATAATGCGATGAGTTGACTCTAGTGATATACTATCGATATGCTCGATAGTTCGCCAGCTATAGTCAAGTGCGAAGAATTACAAGTTTGTAATTTAGCCACAACAAAACGGCAAAGACGCTAACGCTGGCGTCTGTTGCTGCACGTAAATAGTTGCGATAATACAGCTGATAGAGTTAATAATCCCGCACAGGAAAACAGGAGAAAGCATCGTGGAGCTGACACTGGCCATAATCACGGTCAGCTGCTACCTGAGGCCAAGGTGAGTTCGACTAGACCGCAATTAGATGCACATTTACTACTAATCCAAGTCTCTAACCGAGTTTCCAGCCACCAGAGCTCATCACAGACTAACAACGTCGTCATCTGACTTCTTAATCATTAGCCCAATCGGCGAGTGCTGACAAATATGCGTAGAATATCAATCTGTTGTGATTAGTTATCGTTGACCTCCCACGCGCTTCTCAAAATACCCTGCAAGGGAGGGATATTGTCAGAATGAATGAATAGTTTGGTATATGTATAGTGTTTTTGATTGCAGTAATATTATTGAATCATGTTCATATGTATATTTACAGACACATGATCAACCTGCATATATTGAAAGCCGGCTAGATTTGACTTAATGCAACAACAGTAACTGCACATAACACACACACATACACTCACACACACACACACACACACACATACACTCACACACACACACACACACACACATACACTCACACACACACACACACACACACATGTATGCCTGTGCATAGTATTCAGTCTTTGCCATTTGGAATAGTATGAATTTAATTTATTTATTTAATTTTGTGGCATATAGTTTGACGAATTGTTAACAAACACTGGCTGCATGCCGCGCGTAAATATTTATTTCCAGTTAAGCAGCATGTACACAAATAAATGCATACATATGTATATGCATATGTGCATGTGTGTGTGTGTGTGTGTATTTGTTTGCATTGAAACGGGTTTCACGTTGGACGTTATTCAAATTTGCATTTTGATTTTGCAACACAAATCATTTACACTTCAACTTGACCTTTGTGGCCATGCAAATATATGTATGTATGTACACACGTCTATATTTGGTGTGTGTGCATGCATATGTATTCAAATTAATTCAAGTGTGCGTGCGGGTGTGTGTGTGTGCGCGCCTTCCATATGTGTATCGGTTACAGCTCGCTGCACGCTGTCGCTGCCTTTTTGGCAATCAAATCTTGTTGTTGTTATTATTGCTGTTGTTCTAGCTGCTGTTTTGTTCTAGTTGCTGCTCTGCGTAGACCGTAGACCGCTGCCGCATTGCCTGAGTTTGGTCAGTAATCGTCAAACAACGAGCGCGTACGCATTTTTCTAGCTCGATACGTTTTTTTTTTTTTTGCTGTTTATTAGCTGACATCATTTGGCCATTGGTCAGACTTGCTCTTGCTCTCTCGCTCTCGCTCTTGCTCTCTCTATTTCTTTCTCTTCGGCGTGTGTGTGTGTTTTTGAGTGGGTGCCTTAATAATTTGTTTATCAAAGCTCCTGCTAACCAACGGTCTCTCTTTTCTTTTGCTTTTCGTTCTCTTTTTTGGGCTTACAGTCAGAGTACCGTTATGCCTGGCACGTTCTGAAAAGCTGCGATCGCGGGTTCTGCGTGAACTGGATCCGAGTACGTGTAACGTGTAACGTTTTACGTTTTATCGTGTAACGGGTATCAAGCACAATACTCGATACTTTAAGCTGCCATCTGGCTGGCCTTGCTCTTCAACTTCCTTTCCTTGCCGCCGCTCTGTCGCGCCCCCCCCCCACTCTCGCTACCTGTCTCTCTCGACTCTCTCACTCACTATCGCTTTCCTTCGCTCACTGCTGTCCTCCGTGCCGCAACAATGTATTCAGCGGGTAAATAAATAACGATATATCCTGTACATACATACATACATACGTGCATACATGCTGGCCATCTGGCTTAGCGTTTGCATGTGTGGCATCTGTTAATAAATAATAAATAGCACGATCAGTATGCCCTCACCCCTCCTCATACATTCGCTCGTCATTCATTCATATGCAAAATTCCACGCTGTTTGATTTTATATATATACATGCATACATACATATATATATGTATATGTATATTCTTAGACCAGTTTAGTTATATGCTTGTGTGTGTCCGTTTGCTTAGAGACTCCCAATCGCTTGGGTATATAAAGGTGCCTAGTCAGGCCTTAACTGTTTAATTTGCTTTCATTTGTTTATAGAAGGCCCTCCCATAGGTTCACCTATACATATGTACATACTTCAGCACCCGATCTGCATGAAGTCATCGTCCACTTACACTTGATTTGCTCACTTTGCACTGTTCCAGGCCGGAAATGGATGATCATCCATTTGCCACCGGTCTTACACCCATGAGCACACAGACAGACATATCTATGTATGCATATCATACTATTATATAATTGACCGCATTTCAATGACCCCCATTTAACGAAATATCACTAGCATATAATAGTTGCCATCGTCGCAATCCATTGATAAGTTAACTCATTTGGCCATCTAATTAGCCGCTGCACAGTGGGTCAAATGTAATAACGAAAAATTCCACTTCAATTTGAAAATAGGAAATCCAGAACATACAAATTTTATCAGAGTGTATTTAACAGGCAGGTGGCACACCCCATCAGGGATATATTTATAAATATTCTTTATCTTGTCCGTCCGCCTGTGCATGCATTGATCGCAGAACCTACAGAACCTTAGGGTATGTGCTAGTCGGGCAGCCTTGGAGTTATCTAGAATAGAGAATACATTTTCATCTCTCACTCCCTCCCACTCTCCCCTCTCACTCAGTCTAGTTTCCGTTGATGCATTTGCACCACTGTGCCACATTATTTGATTAAATTGCTTTTATCAATCGATTAGCTTAACGGTTTCACGAACTTCATATCAGCCCGAGAAGTTTTTGGAGCCGAGCATAACATTCCATGCCCATTCCCATATCATGCTTTGATTGATGTACATGTATATACACATACATGTATGTACATATGTGCATATGCATATGTATGTACGTATGCACTTGTGTACTTGTGTTGGTTATTGCATACACAGTTCACTAATTGGTAATACTGTTTGCAGTTCGCACCCACGACTACGATTATCCCGAATCGGAAATGGATGAGCGAGAGAGTCTTTACTTTGATACGATCTCGCTGGCCGATTCGGAGGCAGCGGCAGCGGCGGCACATCGCAAGTCGCTATCGCAGTCCCGCAATACCATTTACCACTCGGCGGTGGATCTGGCCGGCGATGAGACGCGCAACAGTTTGAGGAACAGCGCCATCGTTACGGATCACATGAGGCTCGCTGGCTGGCAGCCGGGCTATCGACAGTCGACGGCGCTGGAGCATCTGAATGGTGATGCCGGTGCTGGTGCCGTTGGCGTTGACCATACGGACACTGCCATTGCTGCCCAGCTGCTGGCATTGCAAAACGGACGCACACATCTGCCCACCGGCATTGGCGTCGCCGGTGGCTATGGCTATAGCCGAACGGGCGCTGGCGCTGGCGCTGGCAGCGGTGATGATGAGGTCTCTAGACGCCTTTTAAGGCAAAGTAGCACAGTTTCTAATAGAGATAAGAAATTGCCAATTACATACTCCCAGTGGAAATCGAGGGTAAACAACGATAAACTAAAAACCAAAACAAACAACACACAAAAACCAACAAACGATCAACGATTAAATAAGCAGCACAAGCAATGCAAATACTCTGCCAATATGCCAATACATACATACATACATACATACAGACAAATATCATTAATAACAGTAATAGGCGCTACTCAATGGCGTGCACTCTATCCCTTTTTAGTTATGTATATTGCTCTCTCGCTCTCGCTCTCNCCACGACTACGATTATCCCGAATCGGAAATGGATGAGCGAGAGAGTCTTTACTTTGATACGATCTCGCTGGCCGATTCGGAGGCAGCGGCAGCGGCGGCACATCGCAAGTCGCTATCGCAGTCCCGCAATACCATTTACCACTCGGCGGTGGATCTGGCCGGCGATGAGACGCGCAACAGTTTGAGGAACAGCGCCATCGTTACGGATCACATGAGGCTCGCTGGCTGGCAGCCGGGCTATCGACAGTCGACGGCGCTGGAGCATCTGAATGGTGATGCCGGTGCTGGTGCTGGTGCTGGTGCTGGTGCCGTTGGCGTTGACCATACGGACGCTGCCATTGCTGCCCAGCTGCTGGCATTGCAAAACGGACGCACACATCTGCCCACCGGCATTGGCGTCGCCGGTGGCTATGGCTATAGCCGAACGGGCGCTGGCGCTGGCGCTGGCAGCGGTGATGATGAGGTCTCTAGACGCCTTTTAAGGCAAAGTAGCACAGTTTCTAATAGAGATAAGAAATTGCCAATTACATACTCCCAGTGGAAATCGAGGGTAAACAACGATAAACTAAAAACCAAAACAAACAACACACAAAAACCAACAAACGATCAACGATTAAATAAGCAGCACAAGCAATGCAAATACTCTGCCAATATGCCAATACATACATACATACATACATACAGACAAATATCATTAATAACAGTAATAGGCGCTACTCAATGGCGTGCACTCTATCCCTTTTTAGTTATGTATATTGCTCTCTCGCTCTCGCTCTCGCTCTCGCTCTCTTTCTCTGTCACTCTCACTACGCTAATCGTTTGCATACGCTCGCACAAGTTTCATTTCTCAGCATTTCATGGCAGCAGCACACGCACATCCATTCCAATTCCAAGTCGTTCCACTCTGTTTCCTGGTTAGCTGCGCACTGTGGTTCGTTTGGCTTTAAATGCATTTAGCTAATAGAAAACTGTTTTTGACAGCATCTGCATACGTAAATACATACATCGATACATACATATTTATGTACATGCATCACATATGCATCAATTCACACTGTATTCGCATTCTTTTGTTTACTTGCTGTGGCTACGTTTCTCACCATTTTCTGTCTTTCTCTTTTTTTTCTCTCTTTTTTCAATAGTTTGCTTGCGGGAATGGGTAATGGCAATTTTTTAGCATAAATACCTCAATGTGTATATATATGTGTGTATAACAATATATGTACATACATACATACATATATACATACGTATTCAAATATACCTTAGTATATAAATTGTACATAAATTAAGTTTAAGCTCAGTTTTGATCAAACATAGGAGTCAGGAGCGTTGTCTGAAAAGATTTCATATTTTCCGAATATTTTCCAATGCGTGCGTTGGCTTAGTGCATGTATATGTGTGTATGTGTGTGCATGGCTCAGTATACGCACAACATTTATACGTACATATCATATCTCACTGTAATATTTGGCAAACATCTTAGCTTTCAGGATCGATTATCAGCTGTATTTACTTTGAGCTTGCTTTAAAAGGGGTATTTGTTTAATTTTAATAYKTAYTKAYT